CTTCCCCTCACCTGAATAGCCCAGCCGACACTCGCACTTGTAATCGTTGATGCGCTGGACGCAGTTCTGGGTCCCGCGCGGGTCGCAAGGGTTGGAGAGGCACTCGTTGACGTCCCCCTCGCAGCGCTCCCCGACAAAGCCCGGCAGGCAGAGGCAGCTGTAGCCCCCCACGCGGTCGAGGCACTTCCCGCCGTTGAAGCACTTGGGGGCCACATTCGGACCCTCCAAGGAAGGGCTGCAGTCGTCCACGTTGATCTCGCAGTGCACCCCTGCAGGAAGGAGGAGAAGCCTGTGGACCGGGAGGGGCGGCGCCTGTTTTCCCTTCCCTCCCAGAGAACGCCGCCGAGGGAGCTCAAGAAGGGAGCCACGGCAAGGGGGGGGGAGCTATCCTGCGGCGAAAGAGGAGCCTGGAGCTTCCAAACCCACTGGTCGTGGTCGCGAAGGTCGGCTTCATCAAGGGATTCCCCCAGCCCCCCATTCCATTCTTGAGGGTCCCCAGGGAACGAGCGGGAACACACACACTGCCCTATTCGATACAGCGGGACCCCCTTATCCGCTGGATCAGCATCCACTGATTCACTTCATTGTAAAAATATTCAAAGAAAAATCCCCACCCTGAGTTCAGCCGTGTTTGTGTTTACCTTGGGTTCCCGGGGGGCAAGAGCATTTGTAGGCATTGACGAGATCGATGCAAGTGCCCCCGTTCTGACATGGGTGCGAGAGACACTCGTTGATCGCTTCAGAGCAGTTTGCTCCATGGAAGCCCGCAACACACTAGAGAAAGGAGGACAGGACAGCAGACCCTGGTTAGGGCTCATCCTGTAAAGCACCCTTTCTGTAGCTCTTTCTACAGTAGTATGTGTTATTATTCCAGCAGGGCCCCAATATCCATAGTTTCACTTTTCCGCTGCCTGAAAATATTAAATAACAGGCATGCCCAGAAATATGTGTTTCTGAGGTGTATTACAAAAACTAGCCACTAGAGGAAACTAGAGACTATGTTTTTTTCTTTCTCGTGCTTCTATATCTGTGCTTTTCTGCATGGGGGGGGAGGAGATTGGAACCGATCCCCTGCGGATATTGCGGTCCTCCTATAATTGCATTTCTTCCCTGTCTTTTAAAGCAAACGTCCATCACATCGCAGAACACTTGCCTGGAAAGCAGAGGAGTCAGGCTGTGTTCTCTGTATAGATCCAAAGACTTAAACCAATCAAAAACTTTGCAAAGAACGGGGCGTTCCAAGATGCCACGCTAAAGAGCCCGGCTCGCCCCGCGCCACCGGAAACGTTTTTCCCAGCGGCGACGCCAGGAGTTCCTGCCCAGACCTGGCGTGGCAGGGGAGCTTATGTGGGCCGAGGGAACCCCTCCGCCTCCAGCCCCCGTCCCTCAGCCCCGGGGCACACGTACCTCGCATGAATAGCCTCCGAGATAGTCCGTGCACGTGGCCCCGTTCTGGCAAGGGTTGGGGGCGCACTCGTCCACCTGTTCCTCGCAGTAGCTGCCCGTGTAGCCCGGCTGGCAGTGGCAGAAGTGGGTGTTGCCCCGGTCTATGCAAACGCCCGAACTGCGACACAGGTGGGTGACCTCCACACCTGCAAGGATGAAGCCAGGAGGCGGGCACACCGTGAGGCTCAGGTCATGGGGCGCCTGCGTTCGCACACAGCACCGGGGGAACAGAGAAGGGGACTGGGGCTGGCACGAAACCTCCCTTCCTGTTCCCTTGCGCTCGCCCTTAAGAAAAACCCCTCTCGGATGCTCTGCCCCCAGGACGGGCTGGCAGGGAAGCGGCGAGGCGGGAAAGCCGAGGGGGTCCGGAAACAGAACCCACCTTGCTGCCGAGCGGCCACCTCGCAGGAGACGTTGGGCACGTCGCAGTAGACCCCCGTCCAGCCGCTGGCGCATTCGCAGCGGTACAGGTTGTTGGTCTGCCAGCACTTCCCGCCGTTCTTGCAGGGCGAGGAGTCACACCAGCGCACCAGGTTCTGGGGAGGAGGGAGAAGTGCAAGCCAGTAAGCAAGGAGGCCCCCCCCACCAGGGCGTGGGTCCGTGGAGGGACGCTGCCCCAAAGGTGGGAGCGGCTTATGGACAAGGAAGCCCCTGGATATTTCACTTCTGCCCGCCGACTCAGAGAGCAACCCTGAACAAGCTTCTGGCGCTCAGCCTCTACATGAGGGACCGCATGATGAGACTCATTCACAAGGCCATGGGGTGAAATGCAGAGGCAGTGAATGGGTTGCTCTCTTCCCCCAGAAGTGCTGGAGGAAGGCAAAGACTTGGTGAAGTGGTTCAATCCCTGAAAACTTATGGCACAATCCAGCAGGACTTCCCTATCCACAGATTCTGTATCCACTGCTTCCTTTATCCGCTGGCTGAAAATACTACATCAACAAACCCAGAAATACCTAATCACATGCATTTCCAGGTTGTCCTACCTGGCAGTAGAGTCCGGTGTAGCCCTGCGGGCAGGTGCACTTGTACGTCCCGTAGCTGTCCTGGCAGGTGCCACCGTTCAAGCAGGGCTTGGAGTCGCACTCGTTGATGTCGTGCTCGCAGTAGATGCCGGTGAAGCCGGGCGGGCACAGGCAGGTAAAGGTGTTGATGCCGTCCACGCAGGTCCCCCCATTGAAGCAGGAGCTGAAGAAGGGAAAGAAAAAGAAGCCAGCTCAACAGCTGCACACCTTCAGCCCAAGCTGGAAAAAATGCTCCCATTCTGTTCCCACCAACCGCAGGAGGACCCCCGTGTCTATGGGAATCAGTGTCTGCAATTTCACTTATCTGTGAATATTAAAAATATTAAAAGGGAAAAAAAACTCCCACCAACCGCAGGAGGACCCCCGTCGGGGTCTGCAATTTCACTTAACGGTGGTCTGAAAATATGAAAAATATTAAAACTAGAAATGCCTATTTTTTGTGATGCATTTACCAGATTTCTCCACTAGAGGGAACCAGAGACCATACTGCAGAGGTCTCCAAACCCTGGTCTGCGGGCCGGTGCCAGTCCATGGCCTGAGCCGGACCGGGCGGCAGAGACAGACCTCTCACCCCACCCCACCCCGACCCGCATGCACTCACCCCCGCACAGCTGATTCCCATAGTCAGCCCCCACCCATCCCCCATCCCCACCAAGGATAATGACCCCGAAAATGCAGCCTGCTGGCCATGTCTCCAAAAGTCAACGAGGAGCAGGGCTTTTGGAGAGTTCATGGCTCTTAACTACTCCATTGCATCGTTTCTGTCCTACATAAAGGGAGACCTGGCAACCCAATCGTTCCTGGAAAAGCCAATTCCTCTCCCAGCGGGCGAGAGGGTTGCAGAAGGACCAGGGAAGCCAAGGATGTTGGCTCGTGCGACAGCGCAGGTCCAAGGGGGCTGAGCATCCCCAGGAGGAGAGCCAGTCCCCGCCGGGCTCCTCCGGGGCCGAGACGGACCTTTCGGTGCAGTCCGGGGTGTTGTGTTCGCAGTGGATCCCGCTGAAGCCGGAGGGGCACGTGCAGGTGTAGCTGTTGACGCAGTCGGTGCAGTTGGCCCCGTTCTGGCAGGGGCTGCTGGCGCACTCGTCCACGTCCTCCTCGCACCGGGAGCCCTGGAACCCCGCCAGGCAGTCGCAGAAGAAGCGGTTGACGCCGTCCGTGCAGGAGCCGCCGTTGTGGCAGGGATCTGAAGGGACCAGAAAAGAGGGCAGGCTCGGTTCGGCTTGCTTTCCAGAGAGCCAGGACAGCCCCAGACGGATCCTGCTCCCCATCCCTGCCCACCACTGTTTGCTTGGTGCAGAGCATCCTCCAGACCAAAGTGGTGGGCTGAGGGTCGCTGGGATCAACCCACAGAGTGGGGGGGGGAATGTCTCGTGGTGTCCAGCAGGGACTCCCAACCTTGGACGAGGACGATGCCCAGATGCCTCCAGGTGTGTTGGCCAAGATTTCTGGGAGTCGTAGTCCAAAGACACCTGTGTGTCTCAAGGTTGGGAATCCCTGCTCTCTGGACCGTGGCTTGCTTGGTCCAGATGATCTCCCAGGGGATGGTTTGGAAGGTCATCGGAAGCCGCCCAAGGAGGTCATCGGAACCCAACCCACCTTGGCCTCTCCCCGTTGGTTCGTGGACTACAACTCCCAGAAGCCTTCGCCACTCGCTGTGCCGGCCGGGCCTTCTGGGAGTTGTAGTCCAAGGACACCCCTGGTTTAGAAGGCGCCTCCATCCACACCCTTGAGTCCTCCCCTCTTCCTGGCAGATGGGGATAAAAAGCCCCTCGGGCCTCGAGGGGAAATGGACTCTCGCCCGGCCTCCGGACCGCTTGGCCTCGCTTACTGGGCTGGCAGTTGTCGATGTCGGTCTCGCAGCTGTGGCCCGTGAATCCGGGCCTGCAGAGGCACCCGTAGCCCCCGTCTGTGTTCTGACAGGTGGCGCCGTTCCGGCAGGGGCTCTTCACACACTCGTTGATGTCAATCTCGCACGTCTGACCTGAAAAAAGTCAAGTTCGACAAATCCGTTCGGCTGTCCGGCAAAGGGGCAAAACTTCTTCTCCTCCTGTATTGTTTTTAAAACCAAACCTCTCTTTTTCTCTCTTGACACCCTTTATTTATCCCTTCCTTTAAAATTTCTACCCCAATGTTCCATCAATCACACTCATCTCCAAGGAATACATTTCCCTTAATTATATTTTAAAGTGGTTGGGGGGGGAGAAACGGTCAAATGAAAGAATGAAAACCATGGTGGTCGATGTGGAGTTAAAACTTCAGGAAAAAGCAGAGGAAAAACTCCCAGAGATACAGTAAGACCCCCTTATCCACGGGTGCGGTATCCGCTGACTCCCTTGTCCGCAGACTGAAAATATTAAAATCCAAGAAAAGGGCTCCTTATAGAAAAGTGCAATTCAGAGCAAAAAAAAAAATCAATCCTCAGCCTGCCCCCCCCTTCCCCAGCCAAATGGGGTACCTTGCCACCCGGAAGGGCAGATGCACATGAAACTCTTGTAGTCCTCCGACTCGACGCATTCACCGCCATTCTTGCAGGGACCGTCCGCGCAAGGCGCCAGCACCTCCCGGCAGGTGGGCCCTGGAGTTTGGAAGAGCAAAAAAGGGGCCGCTTGAGCATCGCCAGGCGGCCCAGCTCCACCGCACGATGGGGGCAAGGGGATGATGGCACTTTTTGCCACGCGCCCAACGAGCCCTGGGTTGCGTCCGGGGCATGGGTGTGCCGCTACCTCTGAAGCCTTTGCGGGAGGGGTGGGTCGGGATCCGTCCCCATTCCCACAGATTTTTTAGCCCCCGGGGTCCCCCAGAGCAGCCTTGGCCCCATGGCACCTTCCCAAGACGTTTCCTTTTTTCGGGGAAGGAACCTTTCCACGCAGAGCGTTGTTTGGCGAAAAAGGCCAGGTTTCCGAAGACACCAGTGCAACGAATTTCACATATTTACATTCGGGCACAATTCAGCCAACACAGATACACACACACCCCGAAAGGAACATCTTTTTGAAAGGGGGAAAACAGGTTTTGACGGGTGTGTTTCTCTTCTCCTGCCCCTTGCACCCGGGTGCAACGGGCTTTCCTGTTGACAAAGCCACCTCCATTCCCACATAACGTTATCTCCTCGGCCAGTCCGTGTCACCCAAAGGCCTCGTCTGTTTTCCCGAGCCCGCGGGCCCTCGCGTTCCCTACTTTTCTCCCATGGCAACCGGCGAGGGCAGGAAAGAAGTCACCGCTTCCTCCAATTGTCCGCCGTTGCCATTTTGTGCCACGAAAGGAAGCCGGAAACGGGAGGAAGGGAGCCAGCTCAGCAGAAATCCTAACCCCTGAAACCGGGCGGGCGGAGAAGCCGCTGATCTTCCCAGGGCACATCCTTCCGAAAGGGCTGTCTGTCAGTGGGGCAAACGGGGTTCATTTGCAGAAAGGGGAGCTGGGCCAAAAGACGGCCACCCATTCCATTCAGTATTTTCTTACACCACGCCCGGCTGGGTGAACCGGGCGGACGGTTCATCTCCAGTTCTAACAAACAACATTCCCCGTTTGCCGGAAAAACAGAGAATGATAGGACTGCAACAGTTGAGGGCTCCACTCGGCAGAACGATGGGATATGTTGTTTGGGGAGGAACTCTTGACGGCTCTGCTGGACACCCGCAGGAATGACCGCAGGGCCGTCCCAAGTCTCTCTCTAAGCCATAGGTTGGGCCAGCAGGGATCAGGGCCCTTGAACGCCTGCAAGAGCGGAGCATGGAGACCCGCAGACCAGCCGCAAGGGAGACAAAAAGAAGCAACTGATTATCTTCACTTATCCATCCATCCATCCATTGACTAACGAATCCATCCATCCATCCATCCATCCATCCATCCATCCATCCATCCATCCATCCATCCATCCATCCATCCATCGACTAACCCATCCATCCATCCATCCATCCATCCATCCATCCATCCATCCATCCATCCATCCATCCATCCATCGACTAACCCATCCATCCATCCACCCATCCATCCATCCATCCATCCATCCATCCATCCATCCATCCATCCATCCATCCATCCATCCATCCATCCATCCATCCATTGACTAACGAATCCATCCATCCATCCATCCATCCATCCATCCATCCATTGACTGACCCATACATCCATGCATCCATCCATCCATCCATCCATCCATCAATCTACCCATCCATCCATCCATAACAGTTGGGACCTAGAGCAGGGGAGGCACTCAGGGTCAAACCCCAACCAGCGGCCCGAGCTAGATTACGACCCAATTTGTTTGGCAAAGATCAACCGCCCAACACAACTCAATGGGTCGAGTCCAATGACCTCCAAGGCAGGGAGAAATAGGAAATAACACACTCCGAAAGGACATTATTATTTAATTATCCATTCTGCAGAATAAGGGGGGCACGCATGGACTGAAACCAGAACCTCGGACATTACCAATGTGCGCTTGTGTTTATCTTCCCTACTAAGCCATGTATTGCTGACCGGACTGGCAATCCTCATCTGGCTAGTAGAGCTGATTTCTGCCCTCTCACATTTAGGTTCCCAACCTTTCCTGGGCCACCCCGTCCTTGTTTTCCTTAATTCTTTCAACCACACACTCAACACCTTCCTTTCTTTGCATGAATAAAGCTCAGGGCTTGATCGGGAAGATTTCTATGACATGTGGGTTCAAGCATAGGTGGCAGAAAAAGCATGACACGTCATAGAAATCTCCCCCCTCTTTCTATGTTTTTTTTAATATCTAACCCAGTGCGATGGGTGGACGGATAAAACCCCTCTCTCGGGTTGGGTCGGTTCTCCAGCAGGACCTACGCCAAAAGGGCCCCCAATTCCTTCTCCCCAGGGGGCACTCACCGCTGAATCCTTCCCGGCAGGTACAGATGTAGCCGCTCGTCATGTCTTTGCAGGTGCCGCCATTGGTACAAGGGTTGGATTCGCACTCGTTGTTGTTGATGTCGCAGTGGCTCCCACTCCAGCCTGGGTCACAGTCGCATTTATAACTTTGATCGGGGAGAGGGAGAGAGAAGGGGGCCCGTGAGAGAGGCTAGTGTTTATGTACCCTAGCAGTCACACATCACGGAGCTGACCTGTGTTACTCATCTAGCTAGTAGACTTCTGGTATAGTTGACTTCTACGCTAGCCGATTTCTGCCATCTTTCTTTTATGTTTAGGCTCCTCTCTCTCTCTCTCTTTGCAAACTCCTCTATAACCTTTCCCATGTCACTTTGATCTCATTTTCCTTAATTCTTGGAACCACACACTCAACACCTTCCTTTATTTAGGTGAGCAAAAGGCACGAGTTTGACGCAAAGATTTCTATGACGTGTCACACTTTCTCTGCAACCTAGACTTGGATCTCCCCAAGCATGTTTAAACATGTGTACGAGCCATCTGGCCTTTCTCACCAGGTTCCTCATAAACATGTCAACAACCCCTTCTAAGTTCAAACGTCGGCAGCAGGAAAAAACGTGACGCGTCATAGAAATCTTCAACCGACTTATAAGTTTCTTAGTCTCTAACAGGGGGAGTGGATATAAAAAGGGTGCTACTTATATTAAGCACGGCTAGGCATAAGCAGGACTGGAAATAGATTCCCACCCGAGGAACACCGGAAAACAGCCTTGGAAGTGAACCCGAACCCCCTAAAAGCTTACCCGTTCAGCCCATCATTGCACCGCCCGTGGATACAAGGGTTGCTGTTGCACTCGTTCACTTCCGAAAGGCACATGGCGTCGTGGTAGCCCTCGGGGCAGAGGCACGTGAAGCCGTTGACGCCGTCCTGGCAGGTGCCTCCGTTGTGGCAAGGGTTGCTGGCGCACTCGTCCACGTTGACGTTGCACATCTTCCCTGCAGGGGTGGAAGAGGGCGGCAAAGAGGGCGTCAGCCGAGGGGACGCCGAAGGAATCCACCCAAGCAATCAGCCAAGGGGCCGCCACGCACACGGGGAATTTCAGCCGGTCCCCGAACTGGGCATGTTTCGCTTTGAGAGGAGACGACGGAGGGGAGAAAGCAGATCCCGCTAGAAAAGACTCGAAAGGCTGTCCCTCCAGAGGAAGGGCAGGATCTGTCCTTGTGCGATTCCTAGAGCTGCAGGTCACAACCCGGGGTCACACTTGCGTCCCCCGCTCAGCTCCCTCCCGCGCCCCTCCTCACCTGCGTATCCCGGCTCACAGGCGCACTCGTAGCCGTTGATTTTGTCGATACATTTGCCGTAATCGCAAGGGCTGTTGGCGCAGTCGTCCAGGTTGATTTCGCAGTTGGGTCCTTTCGAAAGAAAAGCAAAGGAATAAAAGGCAGGTTATAAACCCACACGTTTTTCAAGCTTAAGCTGGATATATATTGGGGGAGCACCGGGGGGGACATGTATGTTACATTTTGTGTTTTTTTATTTTGTTTTCTTCCGTTTGTACATTAGTTGAGTTTTCTTTCCGATGTCCTGTTTCTGGCTGTTTTCTTATTTTCATGTTATTTTTTTTATTTTATTTTAAGCTGCAAAGTCAGGGCAGAAAGCGGACCGAAATCTTAGGAAGTTCCCTGAAAAGATGCAGAGGAGTTTGGATGACGGGGCTTCGATGCCGCGTCCAGCAGCTAGGGAAAGTCAAAACAAATCTGACCAAGCCTTCGGAAAAGAGATAAAGTCACCTAGGGCGTTTGGTCTAGGCTTCAGAATCTGCACTGCCAGGGCACAGCCTTTTATACGGCACAGATGCGCACATAAACACGCTACAACATGCTCACCAATGACCCTTAAGGAGCACCTTCGTGCACACGGAACCACAGAAGCCCCCAAACCTGCCATGCCCGTTATGGCAGACACACAGACTTGGCAAAAGTGGAGGCTACTCTGGAGACCCACGCCGTGGCGGTTCTCACCCGTGGTCCCTTTGAGGCAGAGGCAGCTGTAGGCGTTGTTTCGGTCTTGGCAGGTCCCGCCATTCTTGCAAGGCAGGCTTTGGCACTCGTTGATGTTGATGTCGCACCGGTGGCCGGTGTAGCCCGGCTGGCAGAGACACACGAAGCTGGCGATGCCATCCTGGCAGGTGCCATAGTGGCAGGGATCCGGGTCGCATTCGTCAATGTCGGTCTCGCAGTGCGGGCCGGAAAAGCCTGGAGCGGGGAAGAGGGTGGACATCGGAAGGAGAGCGTTGTACAATGAGCAGAGCTGCTGGGCGGTTTGGCAGTCTGGGTGTCTAGTTGCAAAGCCAGAGGTTGGGAGTTCGAATTCCCCCGCTGATGGCCTCCTTAACAGGGGCTGGACTGGATGATCTTATAGGGTCCCTTCCAGCTCTAGCAGTTTTAAGATGATGAGGAGGTAAACCCCTGACTGTGCATCCTCCCAACTGGGATGATCAAAAACAGATGCTGATCCTCGCTACGTCAAGTCTTGGAAAAGGCTTCTCCTATGTCCCTGCAGACTCTGACACCCCCCCCCCGCAGACAATGTGGAGCTTAGCTGCTCCCTAAAATGAAGGGAGCAGCCGAGGCCACGTGGAGATTCTGTGGAGTGATTTCCAAAGAGGAACCCAGAGGTGCTGAGCGCTCCTAATGAGGCTAAGGAAAACAATTTGCAACTCAAGCTATTCCTACAATTCAACCCTGCCTTGAGCCCAGGGGTTGGACTTGATGGCCTTTGGGGGCCCTTCCGGGCTCATTCTTCTAGGATTCTACAGGTTGGCTGCTCCAGAGCATCCTCCGTGGCCACGCCATGCAACGTCCACCGAGAAGCCAGGCCCAGATGTTCCACCACACACACACACCTGTGGGCTGGCTCCCCCCTCCTTGCTTGGCAGCTACAGAAAGGAAGGGACGGGACGAACACGCCGCCAGGGACCTCAGGCCATGTCTACCAAGAAGCCAGGCCACATCCACCATGCAACGTCCACCCAGAAGCCAGGCCCAGATGTTCACCAAACACACACCTGTGGGCTGGCTCACCCCTCCTTCCTTGGCAGCTACAGAAGGGAAGGGACGGGATGAACACGCCGCCAGGGACCACGAACGGTGTGGCAGGGTTGGTGGCCTTCACCCTTGCAAGAAATCGCCCCGCCTGCAGAAAAGAGCTCGGCTTCGTCCCCAGAGGGAACAAAGGCTCCCTCCGGATGCACAAGGGGTCCCTCTTCTCCCTTCGCCGAAGGCTAGGGCCGGCCGCTCGCCTCCGCCTGCCAGCACGCCACTCGGAGAGGCGGGCGGAGGATGCCAATGGGCAGGGAGGGGCGGGGCGGGCGGCTGGCCTCTCCGCTAAGGGGTAAGAGCAGCCCCTGTCGTCCCCCGCCATCCTCCAGCCACTGAGAAGCGCCGGACGGAGGGGAGGAAGGGGGGAAGAGGACAAAAGCTTGGAGGAGCGGTGGAAGGAGGACAAAGTGAGGCTTTGAGGGCACATCCCTCCCCTCGTCGCCATGAAATCCACACATCGCAGCTTTTCATCGCATCTCCCGCCCGGCCGGGACCCTCATTAGAGTCTGCTCAGCTGGAAGATTTCTGGCGGGAGACTCCTTCACAAAAGCCCCACTGTTGGCGGCCGGGGAGGAGGGGGGGGCGGCCCCGATGGCGTCCGGTTTTTGTCCAGGCGCTCCTCCAGTTTCACTCCTCTCTCTCATGCACGCGCGCGCACCCAACCCTGTGCCTCGGGAGATGAAGCCGGCTGTTTTTTTTTTTTTTTGTCCTTCCTCTTTCTCCTCCGCCAAGGCGAGGGGCCGGAGGAGAGGGAAGGCCGCGAGGCGCACACCCACGGAGAAAAGGAGCCCCCAACTGCCGCCCCGGCCGTCTTGGGACGGAGCCAGGATGGAAGGAGGGGTGGCCTCCTCGTATCCGGTGCCCCAGGCGGCCATAGAAAGAGAAAACAGGCACAAGGGGGTGGGAAAAGGCAGTCCTCTTGTGCCAAAGGTCTTGGGTGCCCGGCCGTGAGAGGCGGGCATTGCGCCCCTCTTGAGCTTGAGAGCAAATCCAGTCCCTTTGCAGAAGCCCTGGATTTGCTCCCCACTTGCTCTACGGTAGGGGATCGAACCCCCAACCTCTGCAGCCAGATCCCTAAACCCCTGAGCTAACCCCAGCCGGCTAAATGACTGAACCCTAATATGGATGTTTCCCATCGTCAACCTCACCTTAGAACTGCTAGAGCTGGAAGGGACCCTATGAGGTCATCCAGTCCAGCCGCGGTCAAGGAGGCACCGTGGAAGATTTGAACTCCCCAACTTCCGGCCCCACAGCCCGAGACCTTCACCACTGAGCGATCCTGCAAAGGGTTTTTTTCTGGTCACCTACCTTCTGTACATTCGCACGTGTAGGCGTTTGGACCGTCCACGCACTTGGCTCCATTCTTGCACGGCGTGCTGGCACATTCGTCGACGTCGTACTGGCACAAGTGGCCGTTAAAACCTGCCGGAGAGCAGAAGGGGGGGGAGGAGGAGGAGGGAAAAAAGGGCTTAAGTTCCAGGATCCGCTCCATCTCTGGCCCGTGGCCCAAAATGCCAATAAACCCGAGACCCTTCAGGGGACTTGAATACAAGCCCGACAAATAGCAAAGGCTCCTCCGTGGAAGCAGAGAAACACCCGCCTTTGCCCGAGTCACCTCCGGCGAGCGGAGAAATCCTGCTGGCGATTAAAAGAAAACGAGATGAGGTGGTTGAGTTCCTCCCAAACTGACTAATAGAGCCGGGGGGGGGACGGACGGACGGACGGACACTGCTGTGGTTATAGCTATGAAGGAGGGGTATGGGCACCTTGGAAAGAAAGTCGTTTGAAACACTACACTGAATATTTCCAAGACATCTTTGTATCCTTGTGCTCTCTCTTACAAACATTTTCTGCCCAAGGACGCAACGTCGGCTCAGATGCCCCCGTGACACACGATTTTTTGCTTCTGACAAACTGGGGGGGGGGGAGAGAAGGAACAGCCTCCCTCCCGGAGCAATGCCCTAAAAATGTCAAGAAATGTGAAATGCGCATTCACGGAGGGGGCCTGCCGCGTATTGCCCAGACTCTCTCGCCCCCCCCGTCCCCGCGGAGGGGGCCTGCCGTGTTGCCCAGACTCTCTCTCGCCCCCCCCGTCCCCGCCTCTTCTGGGAGCCTTCGGCAGAGGCTTGGAAAAGTGTGCCCCACATCTCTGGTTGCCTGGCCCCCTTTTCAGTTGCTCCACTTGGCCCAATGCCCAGAGCGACAGCCCTCCGGACCGGGAGGTTTTCTCCTCCCGAGCGACAAAAGGGGTTTCTCGGCGCTGGGAAGAAGCACTGCTGCAGAAATCACAATGGGCAGGCACATCCGCACGCAAACGCACACACACACACTTCCTCGAAGACCCGCAAGTGTCGTCCGGCTCTGTTTTGCAGGCTGCGGTTTTATCTGGCCCTCAGTAAAACTCAAAAACAAGCGTGCAATTTTTGGAACCGCACAAAAACTCGGACCACAGTTTGAAGCGGATGAACCGTCATCGAAAGCTAGTTGTCTGTAGTTTGCTTGATTTTGTTCTTTTTTTAAAAAAGTGGTCTAATAAAGGTATCGCCTCCTCCTGCGTCGGTGTGGCTTTGGAGACCCACGCGGCCCTTTGCTAATTTTTGCAAAACAAAACTTGGGGAGTCTTTCAGCCTGCAGTAGACAGAGAACCCCTTAAGCGATTCTTTCCCGGCTCCCTCGCGCAACCCTTCCCCATCAGGAGACACCAAAAAAAAGTTGAAGGAAGCAGCATGCCGATGCAGATCTTATGCACACTTAAGGGCTGTTGAGGTTTGGGCCCTCGTTGCTGGCACCGCCGAGTTGCTAAACGAAACTCCGCAGATCGACTTCCTACGAAGGCATGGGTAAAAATCTCCCATATTTGTGCCGTTTCTGGATTCTGTCCAACTGGTTTTCCGTCCGGACTCCGGTGGTGGAGTTTTACCAGGCCTCCGTCGCCATGGCAACCGCTGCCTGGGATTCTGAATGAGCCAAGGCGCCCGGGCTCTGAGAACATCTTATTTACATCTCCCGAGGAGCCCTGGCCTCTCCAACTTCAAAAAAAACACAAAAAACTTTGTTTGGCGGCTTAGCCAGCCTTCTCCCGGTCTCCTGCCATATCCCATGGGCTTTGACGCCTTTTGGAAATCCACCTCGGCCCCTCCATCCTGCGACTTCCCGAACTTGGGGAGGGGGCCCCCTTTTCAAGTGCAAAGCTGCTTGGCTGGAGTTATTTAAATGGGCCCTCGGTCTGCCTCTCGCTCCCTCTCCCCTCCCCAAACCCCTGCGTCCAGACAGAAGGGAAGCAGAATTTATCTTGAAGGGCCTCCCTTTACGCCGAAGGCTTCTAAGACAAGGAGGGGCGTGTGCGTCCTGTCCCAAGTTGAACACAAGTTGGGAAAAGTTTTGAAAGAGACGGAAAGCAATGCCCATCCCAAGGCCTTTTTTTTTCCGACTGCAAAGGGTCGGTCCCGGCCTCACGGCATAGACCCCCAGCGAGGCAGCGGCCCCCTGCCCCACTTCCGTCGGCATGCCCAAAGAAGCAAGACGGAAAGTAATGCCCATCCCATTTCCCGACTGCAAAGGGTCGGCACACACCCTCAGCGAGGCAGCGGCCCCCCACCCCACTTCCGTCGGCATGCCCAAAGAAGCCGCTGACCTGCAGAGGTACGATTATCTCACACGCCGCCGAGCTGGAAGGCACCATAGATAGTCGAATCAGCGGATACGGAGCCCGCGGATAAGAGAGTCCTAGAAGGGTCTGGCTGTGGAACCAAACCAGCTGGAGTCCCACTGAGCATGGTGGACCCCATGGCAATGCCTAGCCCTCCCTGTGGTGCCCAGAGGTGTGCCCACTGTGAACACAGAGGACTTGTGTAGCCCCTGTGCCTGGCAGCTTCTCCGAGGGAGATCAAAAGGATTCCCCAAAACCGTTCAGTGTTAACTCGCACACCCCAAATATTCCCTCTCAATTTCTCTCTCTCTCTCTCCTGAATTTGCAGAAACATATCGAAGTGGAGAAGGCACGTTCTCCCCCCAGGCGCCCCCTTGGAGTGGGCTTAAATCCATCAGCCAAGCCTTGCCTGCGGGCGGAGGATTAACTTCATCCCTTTTCCTACAACAAAGACGGAGCCGAAGGCAAAGACGGATCGATGCTCTTACCGACGGGGCACTCGCAGGAAAACTCGTTGATCTTGTCCACGCACTTCCCGTTGTGGAGGCAGGGGCTGCTGGCACATTCGTCCGTGTTGATTTCGCAGTAGACCCCTTCGTACCCTGCGGGAGGAGGAGGAGAGGTGGAAACAAGGTGATTTCCTCCCTGCGTGCTAGGAAAACACGCGCGAGCCCAGGACAGCCTTGGTCTGTCCCTGGATCATGTGCTAAGCAGCTCCACCAGTCTTGGTGACCTTTGGCTTTAAATAAGACTCTCCCCCCAAAAAAGGCAGCCAAGCGCTGACTTGCCCTTCTAGGTGGTAAGGAAAGATCTTCCCTGGGAGTCTAAATATATATCCATAGGGTGGCTTTGCATTGTTTTCCGCTTCTGTTTTCGCAACTCCTTGGTTTCAGTCGACAAATTACCCGGGAAATAATTCTCTCAAATGGGGAGAAATTAAGGAATCAAATAAATCAACAAATGGGCCGCCTTTAAGCATCTAAGTTTGGAGAGACGGATTTGTTTTTGTGTATCTTTTCAGCCACGTTTGTATGTTTTCCAGTGGAGAGGCAGGGTAAACCGATCTGTACCGAAGCGGGGCCTTACCTGGCATGCAAATGCAATGGAAGACACCGATCTGGTCCAGGCAGGTGGCATCGTTTTGGCAAGGGTTAGAAGAGCACTCGTTGACGTCGATCTCACAGCGCGGTCCCGAGTAGCCCTGTTGGCACTGGCACTGGAAGGATCCCTCCGTGTTGATGCACTTCCCAGCGTGCTCACAAGGGTTGGCGCCTAAGAAATTGGAGGTGGAGGGAAAATGTTGGCGCGATCATGTCTGCTGGAAGCTACAGTTCATGGCCACTAAAATCTCAATCTCTCTCTCTCTCTCTCTCTCTCTCTCTCTCTGTTAAATGGAAAAGCAGTGATGGGAGACGGCCAGTGTCCTCAGAGAAGCCAGGATGGGGAAAAGTATTAAACACTAATTAGCTCTTTCTGTGTCTATTCGGTCTGTCACCAGATCCATTAAATCAATTCAAATCCATCCATCTGCTGGAATCGACTTAATGGTGCTGGTGGCAGACCAAAGAAACAGAGAGGGAGTTAATTAGCGTTGAATAAACATGTCCTTGAAGAGGTAGGACAGGCTGAAACGCGTTGGGCGTTTTCCACTGAAATACAGAACGCCCATCCATTCTACATCCGGGGGACGGTGGTTCCCCTTCTTTTTTGACCTCAGTGGAGGGGCCAGTCCTTGTCCTGACTGACCCGTTAAGGGCTACGGCTCCCTTCCTGTCCCTTATCCTGCTTTTCCGCCCATCCCTCTCGGTCCAGGAGTCAACTGGCCGGAAGCCCTTCCCGCTGGTTCCCTCTCGCTCCCTCGCCAAGATCCCGCCTGAAGACCACCCCCCACAGAGGATCGAGACCGAGGGCTTACCCAGCGAGCACTCGTCCACATCTTGGGTGCAGTCGGGCCCCATGTAGCCGGACGGGCAGGTGCAGATGGCCTTTCCTGTGACCGGGTTGGTGTCGCAGTTGGAGCCCTCATTGCAGGGGTTGCTGATGCAGGCATCGCTGAGGTGGCACAGCAGTCCTGCGAGGGAGAACGAGCGGAGGGCTCGAAAGGGGCGCTTTTGGCTCCTCTGGAGGAGGCTCTCCCCGAAACACCCGAAGCCGGATGCCCTGGCTCCAGCCACCCACAAGAGAAGGGATGCACCCGACACACTCCTCTTGCTTGGAAGGAGGCACAACCTCTCTGCTGAAGGCACGCTTCCCGATCCATGGCCACGCAGAGCGAGACCTGGCTGATGTTCGCTCCGGGGGATCCTTCCAGCCTCCAGGTCAGCCCCTGCTGAGAAGCCGGGATGCCCCCCCCCTTGCGTTCCCTGCCGTCCCTCTGCGGCTTCTCCCCCCCCCACCGTGCCCCGTCCACCCCTCGGCTCTCACCGGTCCGCCCGTGCGGGCACTCGCAGTAGAACGAGGCCACCCGGTCGTGGCAGGTGGCGCCCATAAAGCAGGCGGCGCTGGCGCAGTCGTCGATGTTCTCGCTGCAGTCCTCGCCCGTCCAGCCGTTGACGCAGACGCAGTTGTAGCCCCCGTGGGTGTTGTGGCACGTACCGCCGTTCTGGCAGGCGTTGGGGATCAGCTGGCACTCGTCCACGTCCTCCGTGCAGTACTGGCCTGGGGGAGGATGGAGAAATAAACAGTAACCTGGCCGTTGGTTCATGCACTATGGCCGGCCACCTTCACGTCCGCTCTGCTAGAGCCTGTCCCCCAACATTGCGTTACATAAAGCCCTACCGCAGAGGAACCAGACAGAACCAAAGATCAAATCCAAATGGTAATCCCAATGAGACTGGACTCACTGACTCAATGGCAACCCTTACGTAAGCCCCAGGGATTCAGTGGGTCTACTCTGATGGGATAAGCATTTGGATTTAAGCTTACCGATATGAGCTTTTTAACATCTCAAGCCCTGAACATTCAGATCCAGAGATAATATTATGGTTTGGGGCTTCAGAGGTTGGCCAACAGAAAGGACGAGGTAGAATCCAGGAAGTCATAATTTGTGAAATTCCACGTATGTAAAAACTCCTCTCCTTAAGGTGCTCTGTTTAAAGTGAGAAGGGCAGCGTTTTTTTGGGGGGGGGTGCTGGAAGGCGCCTTCCCAGTTTCAGGGTCCTCTCTCCAAAGCCCCCCCCCGCTTACCTGTCCATTCAGGTAGGCACTGGCAGTTGTAGGTGTTCACCCCATCGACACAAGTGCCTCCGTTCTTACAACCGTTCCCCGGGCAATCGTCAATGTTTTCCTCGCAGTTCTGACCAGCAAAACCTTGACAGTTGGAGAGCGAGAGAAAGGGAGAAGGAGGGAGAGAACAGACCTGCTTTAGCCACACGATGAACCCCTCCAAACCATGGATGGATGGATGGATGGATGGATGGATGGATGGATGGATGGATGGATGGATGGATGGATGGATGGATGGATGGATGGATGGATGGGTGGATGGGTGGATGGCTGGATGGCTGGATGGGTGGGTGGGTTAGTCAATGGATGGATGGATGGATGGATGGATGGATGGATGGATGGATGGATGGATGGATGGATGGATGGATGGATAAGTGAAGATCAGTTGCTGCTTTTTGTTTCCTCCTTCTTTTCTATGCCAAGCCAAGCCATCGCTTGACAAACAGTATCATCCTTCTAGCCAGCCCGAGCAATTTGAGAAGGGGCTGCCCCACAACGGTAGAAGCATTAGATAAGATTTGCTGGCAGTTAAGAGATGGAATTATTAAAAAAACAGAGGACTTTATTCTGAGGAGCCCAGCACACCAAGCCCTCCCACGCTCTTATCTTGAGAAGGAACTTTTCCACCCTAGAAGGCCCCGGGCAGGATAAGGTCACTCACTGTCCAGGAAACCCACAGGGCAGGACGGAGCGGCCCTGGCCATCACGCGGCACAAGAAGTGGCCAGGTGGGGGGGGAGGCGCAGGATGGGGTGTCGAGTCATAGCACTCGCCGTCAAGTCCGAGTTAAGCCACACTTGCTTTGAACTCGACTCGGTCGTGTGTTTTTCCAACCAGCCCCCCTCCAAAAAACCCCCCCCGTCCGTACCTGGAAGGCAGGCGCATTCGTACGTGGTGTCTCCGGTCTGGTGGCAGGTGCCTCCGTTTTGGCAACGGGAAGGGTTGCAGGGGACGTAGAGGTGCTCGCAGTTCTGGCCCGTGTAGGCTGGCCGGCAGTGGCACTGGTAGGAGCCGATCTCGTTGACGCAGGTCCCGCCGTTCTTGCAGGTGAGGGGGTTGCGGCTGCACTCGTTGATGTCCTCTTTGCAGGTGGCGCCGTGGAAGCCCGCTGTGCACTTGCACACGTAGCTCGACTCGAAAGGCACGCACTGGCCGCCATTGGCACACGGGTTGGAGGCACAGGGGTTGGCCTGTTGGCACGTCTTGCCTGGAGATCAAACACAGAGGACGGCCCCTATTAATGGAAGAAAAGTCCCTGTCCCACGAGATGCCCCCCCGGGTGACCCGGCTGAAAGGCTAGAGGCGGATCCAGACCATTTGAATGCACGGAGGACTCCGCTCACAGTTGTGTGTGTGTGTTGTTGTTTTTTTAAAGGATCAAACACAGAGGACGCCCCCTATTAATGGAAAATTCCCCGTCCCACGAGATGCCCCCCCCCAGGTGACCCGGCTGAAAGGCCAGAGGCGGATCCAGACCATTTGAATGCATGGAGGACTCCGCTCCCAGTTTTGTGTGTGTGTTGTTGTTTTTTTAAAGTCACAACGTTCAGCAGGACAGCGATGGTCCCAGTCGAGAACACTGGGCATGATTCTGCCAGGGCGACCGAGGCTCTTTCAGTGGGGTTGCCCTGCCCATAAAGCGGGCGCTTGGCACCGTTCAGAATCTCCGGTCTTCTCCGCACAGAAAGCGTGTCTGGTCTGCCAGGTTTCTTGATTTATTTTATTTAAAATATTTTTTTTTACCCCACCTTATTCCTGTAAAAGGACCCATTATGGCAGCCACAAAAAAAGCAACATGTAAAGCGAAAACAATGACTCGACCACGTTGGCTTGTAACATGAAACGACAATATTTAAAGCTAAGAACGGGAAGTATACAAACGTTTAAAAGGGGACAGAACAACGCCGCTGAGAAATGGTAAACAAAAGCAATACTAGAAACACTTTCAAAGCAGTCAGACACAACAATTCCTTTTAAAAAAATCCCACTCAGGCAGCCTGTCATTGAGGGAAAGCTTGCCTGGAGAGAAAAGTCTTGGTCTGCTTGTGGAAGGATAGCAAAGAAGGGACCCAGCCCGGCCTCTAGTGGCAGGGAGTTCCACAGCCTGGGAGCAGCCACCGAGAAGGCCCTCTCTTATGTGTCACTTCTGAAGGTGGTGGGACTGAAAGAAAGGCCTCTCCTGATGAACTTAACATCTGAACAGGCTCACAAACGGAAATGTGAGAAATTTTAATTTTATTTTTTGCAGATAGCTTGGACCCAAGGTTCAAAACTTGTGTGTGTGTGTGTGTGTGTCTACCTTACCTGACCAGCCCGGGGAGCAAGAGCACTTGTACTCGGTCAGCGTGAGGAGGTCACAGGTCCCCCCGTTGCGGCAGGGGTTGCTAAGGCACGCGTTCTCCTGAGGAGTAAGGCACAGCTTGTCGGTGTAGCCCAGGCGGCAGGCGCAGGTGTAGTCGGCGGTGTTGCCGTGGACAAAGGGGTGGCAGGTGCCCGCGTTCTTGCAGGGGGAACTGAGGCACGGATTGGGCAGCTGGCACCGTTGGCCGATGAAAGAGCCCGGGCATCTGAGGAGAAAAAATACAGAACGGCCCTGTCAGGATGAGGCCGGCAGCGTCTCTCTCTCCCTCCACAGTCCGGCCACTGAGGCTCCATCTGCGGTTACTGATGAACTGGAAAGTTTTTCAGTGTTACCTACAACCGCCCTGCAGAGTAGGCCGGTGCGTGATCTCCAAGCGACGACGGAGGGACCGAACGTTAAAGACCGGCCACTGGCTCACGCAAGGAGCGGAAAATTGAAGCAGGAACCCCAGGAAGGACGTCTGTACTTGAGTGACTTTTCCAAACCACCACGTCCGAGACTGCTGTTGAATTCCGTTGCTATCATTTATAATTTCACGTGGATTTCCCCGTGAAAGGCCCTCTTTGGGGAAGGGCGAAGCGGCCCAGAAAAAAAGAAAGAAAGAAAAGCAGACAAACGAACCCCAGCTTCCGGTTGCTTCGGGCGTTACGAAGAACAAGCAAATCGCCAAGCCAGAAGCGGGATGGCCAACAGCCACTGCTGACATGGAAGTGGCCGAACGATGCATCAGAAGGTCACCGGCTTAAGAGGACCGCTGCCCTACAAACGACTGAGGTAGACTGCCTTGGGAGCTGGGGGCTTCTGCTCAACCATCCTGGCTCATATCCACACCGTTGCTTTTTCACCTCAGCTCAGGGAGTAGCCGTCTGTACACCGCGGCCATCCTAAGTTGCCTCTACACGGGTCTTTCCAAAAATTTCCTAAATTGGGGAGGCAGCTAACTTGCATTGAATATTCCCCAACCGACGGGTCAGCGGTGGAAGATTCCCTAAGGGGCTTTGCACCCATGACAATCTTGTTTGGTACGTATCCTGCAACTCTCTATTTTGCTGCACCACACACACACCCTGTAAAGTTGGCCGCCCCAAAGAGATGCAAACTTCCAACTATCCTCCTTTGTATCCTGCAACTCTCTGTTTTGCTCCACCACACACACACACACACACACACACACACACACACACACACACACACACAAGAGATGCAAACTTCCAACTATCCTCCTTAGAAGAAGGACCATCAGGAGAGAAAGCAGGTCCCTCCCCTCCTCCCCGGCTTCTTCTTCTTTTCCCCCATTTTCTTTTCTCCGCCAGGATCCGCGTTCTGATGGCATTTCTCGGAGGGCGCGTGAGAATCGGCTGCCGTCTGAGGACCTTCAGTGTTAATGAGATGGCACGATCCGGACCCAGTGAAAAGAGGAAGGGGGGGGGATTGGAAACAAATAAACAAAAAAACCCCCCCCACCACCGGGCAACGCAACGAAACCAGGGCATCTGCTGGGCAGACAAAAGGTTGGGGAGAGCAGGTGTGCATGTTAATGAGGGGGCAGCAGCTGCCCAAGAGCCCAAGGAGGGGGGGCCAAGAGGGGGAGTGGGGAGAGCCCGGAGGGCCCCCCTCCCCATGAAACGCTTGGCTGGGGGAATTCAGCCTCAGAAGCAAGCCTGTTGCTGGCGGGAGAGGAACCGGGGTGGGTGTTTGTGTTCTCGCTCTCAAAGGCGGAGTGTTTGTGCGCATTCCGTGGCCAGTTCCCTTCTAGTCCTCCAGGGAAAAAGAGCCAAGGGGTCCGACCACGGATTCGGTTCCGGCTGCGGCCTCAACGCCCCTCAGGTTCGGACCAGCCGGGACGTGCAGCCGGCCGGGGACGGCTCACCCCTCCAGCCGCGTCTTGAGCATCTTAAAAACCCCACCATGTGCTCCGAAAAGGGTTGGAGACCCCGCGCTAGCAAACAAACCAGGACACATGGACACGCCCTCATGCACAGATGCACACACACACACACCCTTTCTCTCTTTAACTGATGCTAGAAAGCGGACTGTCTTTCAAACAACCAGCTGGCGGCTGTTTCTCTTTTTTTTGGGTCTGCTCTGCTCAGACGAATCCGATGAGCCAAAGAAGCGAATCTTCCCACAGCCCGGCCTCGCGCCTTTTTTCTAGAACATGGACCTCAAGTTACTCTTGTACTCAAGGCAACTGCGCCCAGATGTGTGGATGGGTTGCCCCCAGGAGCCAGATGTTTAAGAGGTGAGGACATCAAGAATAATACTCTAAGCATGATTAAGACTCAGTCCAGTGCCCCCCCCCATTCTATCATCAGGTTGAAATAATCAAACCTAAAGCAACTCCGTGTGTATCTGTGATCTGCAAAAAGCATACAACGCTTCCGTTTTTCCACATGAAACGGCTTTTTCTTTTTTGGGGGGGGATGGCCAGGCATAAAAACAAAGCCAAATAAAATCAGCAGGAAACTGTGGCCACGCGTGGCGAGGGAGAACACACGGTCACGCCGCGTGAACCTAAGCTGCGAGGCAGGATGTCGGAGAGGAGCCTCCATCCACCTGTAGCTACGGATCGCCTGAAGACGTGAACCGTGCCCACAAAAGCTTGCGGGAAAATAAGAGCAGTTGGTCTTTAACAACATTTTTCCGTCTCCTCTGTTTTGCTTTTGTTTTGGACTGATATTGCCCACCAAGATCTTGATCCAAACCCGCTGTTTTTGAAAGGCGACAGATGTATCTCAACGGTAATGCATTTAAGCCTCTGTGTAGAAGAAAAAAAAAGAAAACTTTGTGGTTTGTTTGTTTTTTGTTTTTGCTGGCACAAAAATCACGTAACGGCCGGCAGTGATATCATCATAACCGCAGGACACACAACGCAAGATACGTCCTCTCGGTTCATAACTTTAAAAGGGCCCAAGGCGGCTTACACCATTAAAAGACAAAGTCGAAGGCTTAAGAACACTAAATCTACACATTTTTAAAAAAGATCAAACAAATGCCACACTAAAAGTCAAAGGCTTAAGAACACTAAATCTACAATTTTTAAAAAAGGGATCAAACAAATGCCACACTAAAAATGGTAAACAAAAAATAATACTAGAAACACACGCAAAGCAGCGAGACACAACAATCCATTTTTTAAAAAATCCATCAGGCAGCCAGTCAATTAAGGGAAAGCTTGCCTGAAAAGAAAGGTCTTTGCCTGCTTGCGGAAGCAAAGATGGGGCCAGGCAGGCCTCCAGTGGCAGGGAGTTCCAGGGTCTAAAGGAGCAGCCACAGAGAAGGCCCTGCCTTGTGTCCCCATCAGATGTAGAGTGCCTTCCAGGAATCCAGCCGGGGGGCACCTCAGGCCGGTGGGGTCCCCTTTTCATAATTTCCAAGAAATTCACAGAACGCTTAGACAAAGGTTCCAACCCAACTTTTGGGGGGAGGCTCAGAAGCCCTGCGGACTTTGGGAGGGTCACACCTCGGAAAAGCCGGAAGGGATTCCCCTTTAAGGAAACAAGAGCCTTTGGAGGACAATCCCAAGTCAAAGACGGCTCAGGGTCTCTTTCACAAGGGCACCCCCCCCAAAAAAAACTGGCTTTTCTTCCCCTACTTCAACATTTCCATTGTTTTATGGCTTTCCTGCCATTTTAACAGCAACAGGTTTTCCCTCTATAGAAATGCTGCCTCTAAACCCCATCCCAAGGCAGATGTTTTGTTGACCTTTCACCCCGGGATTAATTCGGAAGGTTTGTCGCTTTCTTTCAGAGCGGCCAGCTGCCATCTGCCACCTCAGGACAGATGCCATCCACACGCACACCACTGCCCCTCCTCCTCCCCTCTTTCCTCACAAGGAGACCCACCCACCCCACCCTCTCCACAGTCCCAAGTTACGAAAGGATACCCCCCAATGTCCATGGCATGGAAAACTCCATCCTGGAGGCAGATAAAATTTGGATTTAAGTGGGAAATCGAGCCAGGGAGGAGAAATTTTTGCAGGGTTTTGGAAAAACCAAATTTCATCCAAGGGGCCCGAGGAGTTTTGGAGTGCCGCTCGCAAAGCCGATTTCGACATTAAAATCCAATTCTTAAGAAGTGCTGCTGGGAAACAGCATAGAAATCCAAAAAGCAAACGGAAGGCTTGTTGGAAACGTATTCCCGGCTAGGAATATTCGACATCGAGTATCTACAAAGCCCCAGCGGAGGGGGAAATAAGCAGGTCAGAAAGCAGGCTCCCAAACCTGGTGATGGCCTTTGTGGTGGTGCCTCGCTAGACAGTGACCCCGCATGACAGTTTTTTCGCTAGACATTGACTTTTTACGATCGCTATAGCAGTTTGCAAAACAGTGATTCCTATGGGGGAATTTCGCTGGACAATGTTTGGTCCCTGCTTCGCAAACCGATTTTCGCTAGACAACGATTTTGACAGCTCCCTCCGTGCTTGCAAAACGGGTGTTTTCAGGACCTAAGCTTCGCAAGACAGCTATTTAAACATCTGATCAGCGGTTCGCAAAGCGGCTTTCCTATGGCCGATCTTCGCTAGACGACGACGATTCTTCCCCATTGGAACGCATTAAACAGGTTTCAATGCATTCCAATGGGGAAATGCTTTTCACTAGACAATGATTTCACTAAACAGCGATTTCAGTAGAATGGATTATCATCGTCTAGCGAGGCACCACTGCATAAAGGTTCCAGATTAAAGCATGCAAGGGAGAAACAAGGTCATGGTCCTTTAATTAGACTCCCCTGTGTGTGCAGAAATTAAACAGAGACCAGGAGCTGAGGTTCTCCGTCTGCTCCTTGGGCAACTAGTAACGACATGGCCAGGTAATCCCACGGTTGAACGCCTGCCCCTCCCTCAAAGTCTGGGCCCTCCTGATAACAGCTATCACCTGCTCCAAGATTATGAAGTCGCTCTGCTCTTCCAGGTGCTGTTTTATGGACCGTCCACCTCGCCTCCTCTCTCCGGAGCTTAATGATTGCTTTGCCTCCCCCAGATTCAGAGGCTCAAAGTTTACAGCCCGCCGGCAAGTTAGTAATAATAATAATAATAAAATGTGCCTACAGCGCTGGCCTTCCCTACACAGCCCCCCCACCCACCACCCCCAGAAGAAAGTCTGGCATCACCCTTTGGCTTAAAGATTAAAAAACAACGGCTTTCAGCGGGTTTTCTGCCACCAGATAAAAAAATTCCAGCAGCAGGAGACTTTTATGGCACTC